CACGCCAATTTCCTCGGTCACACCATCCCTCCGGCCGGTGTTTGCCCTGATGGCGTTAAGGTTAGGGCGCTCACGCACATGCCGCCGACGACGAATGTTAAGCAGGTCCGGAGCCTTCTCGGTGGACTCAGCTACTACCGGAAATTCCTCAAAAATCTCGTCACCAAGGTGCGGCCGCTCAACTCTCTTCTCAAACACGAGGTTCTCAGTTGAGGTTATATGTTGTGAGTGGAGATTGTTAAGGAGGACCCGATTCGCAAGGTACCTGTCGATCGACTTACACCTGAATCGGTACACCTTCGCATATGGCGTCGGCTGGATAGTGGTTCGAATCTCCCTCTGTGCACAATTATTCTCCTGAATTGGACATTTTCCCATCGACACAATGTGTGGCAGTCTAGAAAACATCTCTTGGAGTCGATCCTACGAAGAACCTTGCGACACTTCCATCGAATTACCCATCCTTGCCACAAGAAAGAGGTTCCCAGTTGAGGGTATATTCTGTGGGTGGGGAGTGTCAAGGAGGACCCGATTCGCAGGGTATCCGTCCATTGACTTTTACCTCAATCGGTACACCTTCGCATCTATGCATTCATACAGGCAGACGAAAAAAACTCGCGGGACGATCGATCGCGATGAGACAGAGCCACAGCAAGCGGTAATAAGGCATGAAGTGCAAGTGAAGCAATGTAATTTTTTTGGTGAATGGGGCAGATGAGCACTTATTTCGCCCTTCGATGGGTGCGTACCTTTTTTTGTGGAGCCTACGGTTCTTGGCATTCCGCAATCAATGATTTCCTGTTCCAAACATACATACGTTTTGTTTCTCATCAGCAGGAATAATGCCATTATTTTCATCATGAAAAGACCATGAGGGGAAATTCTTCAGTGTTCGGATGCTAAGTGACCCTTCCACGTATTCTACCAAGTAGGTATGACAAAATGCGCTCTTGGTGGGGACACCACAACCTTCAGGAATATTGGTTGATTTCACACCGCTCTCTACTGTGAGGTTTTCAACGCCAATCAATCTATCTCCAGACACACCATCCATTACTACCACTACTACAGTCATCGCATGATTCCCGGCTTTATCAGAAACAAAAAATAGTAAATCCGTTTTCAAAAACCTCTTTTCCCTGTCTCTGGTTACTCAGATCCGGCTGATGTATGGATTGGCAACTCAGCATCGCTGATGTATGAGCTGGTTTACGGAAATGGACCCAAATTTATTCAACCACCGCCGCCAGACGAAATATGCACGTACACAAAGTTGACAGAATATCTTGTATCATAGTGACTCCGATGAGCAAGGAAACAAATCACCGTGGCCGGAATAATTTCAATCAGAGCCGTGGCCACAATGCAATGGGCATAAACATGTGTCTCGGCCAATCAGAAGCCTCAGACATGAAATAAAACAAATTATAGTGCATGCAACCCCGCACTTCCCACCTCTTCCTAACGCAGTTTTTGCAAAAACGGATATTTCCATGTGCTCTAAGGGACCTGGAGAAAAAAAACAAATAGAAAACGTTCATCGTGGAAGCGAGTGATGCCCAACATTCATTGTGGTTCGCCGGACGAGATTTGGCGTCGTCGAGTTTCCACGGACGGATTGTTTACATGCTGGGATACGCAGAAAGTCTCGTGTTGGTTTGCCCACAAACGCGCACAAAAAAAGACTTCCCGCACGCCTACCCGACACCCCCCCCCCCCCCCCC